TATATTTATATCTACCTTAAGTCAATTGGTTGCATAACCCTTAATAATTCCACGCCACAAAAAAATAATCCATGTTTTGAAATTTTCAATTGAACTCAAGCCTTTACAGCCTTTCAAGGGAGAGAGTTCCAGAATTTCATTATCCTTTGTGTAAAGATGTTGTCCTGAAATGAACCCTGAAAATCCTGACTCTGATTTTAAGTTTAAGTTCCCATTTGTCTGTGCTGCTCACAACCCATTTCCTCCCAGGGAAATAGTTTCTCTCCATCTACTCTACTGAATCCTTCAATCATATTAAACGCCTCAATTTGATCACCGTAATGTTTAATAATGTAACACTCAATGCATTTTTTTTTCCAGTGAACCACTCCAGAATTCAGGTATCTTACCTGAGGTGCAATACAATGATGCAGCATTTAGTTACCCAACTCCCTGGCTCAGGTTTTGCTGCCACCAGCAGATACCTTACCTTCCCCCAAAGTGCAACTTTCCTGGAGGTCCTGCTATGCTGAATATCAATTATCTGGAGACCAACTGCTGAAGTACAACATACAAATGAAGGAGCACATCAGAAGCTGGGCCTGATAGAGAAGGGAAGACTAACTTGAAACTGAGCTCAGACAGAGTATGAAAGGGCAAGTCAGTTCCTCAGGCAAAAAGAATGAAAAAGAGTCCCTTGTGATAATTTTAACATTGTTTCCTTATTGGAGTATTAAACTCAGGGTTCTGCAAGGGGAGGAAACCAAATATTCCCTGATGCAGTGCCCCTGTTAACATAGCAACTGAGTTTGGCAGCAATTTTGAATGTACAAACTATATTGGCATCCATCATTTTCACTGCTGGCTGACATAGAAACCCCTACAATGTTTATTTCTATTTTTCTGCAAGAGAATTAGTTTTCTCAGTGGAAGCTACAATGATGAATTCCATTACAGATCAATTCAAGGGTAATTGGTAGTCCCCAGATACAGTGTAAGACAAAAATGATTATTAATGATTTAGTTGTTGCAACTAATTGTCTTCTAATAATGCCTACTTGAAAGGAAACCTGGATATTTTTCAGAATTGATTTATAAACAATGAGAATCCAATTAGCTCACAGATTTCAAGAAACGGTGTAATTTGCACATAATTCATGTGTTGTTTCATGCTGCTTCTCCAAACACTCTTAAAATTGAAAAGAAACTTACAACATAATCTATTCAAAATCACCATAACTCATTATAAACTGTTATCTGTCGTCAAAGTTTAGTTTAGCAAATTTTGCAAAACTACAAGTGAAGTTTTACACTTTTCTCTCATTCAATATTTTTGTTGTGCTGAGCAATAGTATCGCTGATCACTCCCGATGATCACAGGCTCTTGGCTGAAGAGTAGTGAGACACTAGCTGTACATATCCAGGCCAACACAGCAACTGACAGAAAATCCTCGACGCCGTACTCTGATTCATTGCTTGGATCACTTACCCTTCATAGGTTGTATACACTTTCAGACTTGGGTTTTTTTTAAAAAGTCATTATTTTATGCAACATGGAGTATTTATTATATAAATAAAATACATATTCCACATCTGGTCAAAACATATATAAAATTCAGTTCAAATAGGGTTTAAGCAATTTCAAAGTCTCCTGTGCTAAATCTCTACACACAAACAGAGCTTTTAATTAGTTTTGTATGCCTGAGTCTCAGACAAACTGATTCTTGCTCCCATACAATCAAGGCAAAGCTTCACGTGTCATTAAATATATCCCAGAAAAAAAGGAATTAAATTCAGTTAAATCATAACTGATTTGAAGCAGTCAGCCAGTCACATAATTGTAATAGCCTCTGTTCACAAATTACAGCTGTAGATCTAGGAAACAGCCCCTCAGCATATCTGTAACAGAACAGTATGAGTTGATTTGACAGAGCAATAACATAGAATAGATAGGTTTGAATCACAGATCAGATGGAAAACAGTTGAGTGACTGTAATATTGGCACCTTATAAGAACAACGAGGCAAACAATCAAAGCACAAAGGCTTAGTTCATTTGTCTATCAACCACTCAGGAAGCACATTCCCTCCAGATTGTTAAATAGCAATGCCAATTGTAATGTGTACCATCATTAGCAAGAATCTCGAATCAATAACACATTCCAAAACAAAATACTACATTTTGTCACACCATAAGAAATTAATCAAAGCTGACCAATAATTACAAACACCATTGACAACTTATAAAGACCCCTGATATACAGTTACTTGAAATTGCAGTGAGGTATATCTTCAATTATAAAAAAGTCCCCAAATTCCCATCACATGCAATGATGGAGGATTGTGGTAAACACTGCAGGATTTCTTCAAAAACTACTGCACAACAGCATCAAGATGTATTGGTACTGTTGTTAAATCTGATTACTAATTTATTAATTTAAATATTTGGAATAATGCAAGAGGCATTCGTCCCTTCTTGCCCAGGATCACACTAGCACTCTCAGTCTTCTCTAATTCAAGTTAACACTTCTACACTCATTCAAGTTTTAATTCAGATTTGTTCTAGCCTCACATCCCAAAGAATTTACGTGCCACTGTTTGCCCCTCTTATAATAACCACAACATTTAATTCCTCTTGGCCCCAGTTCACACTAATTCCTTTCTCCCTTTTTCACCTCACTTCCTCCTCATTCACCATTCTGTCCTCGCCCTTTAATTTCAAACTGTCATTCTTTACTGAACCCTGTCAAGTTCAGTTTGGAGTTTTTTTCTTCACCTCAATCCTAAATTCTAGACATAAGTCCTGAATGTTTTGCCAATCACAAGGAATCCTTCTTCCATGGTTTTTTTCTTCACTGTTGGTCTCACTCCCTCCTTGATGTTGCTGCATGTAGATTCAAGCTGTACTGTACATTTTGCATAGGTATTCCTCATCTTACAATTATTAGTCAATAGCAATCCAAAGCAGTAAATGTGAACGTAGAAATAAAGAACAAGAATAGGCTACTGAGCCCTTTGAGCCTGCTCTGCCATTCAAAAAGATCATGCCTGATCTGATTTTAATCTTAACTCTACATTTCTGCATATACCTGATTATCTGTCATCGCTGTCGTAATCATGTATCTGCCTCTGTCTTAAATTGTTAAAGATTCTGCATCCACTGCATTTTGAGAAAGGGAATTCCAAAGTCTCACAACCCTTGCAGGAAAAAATGTGTTGTCATCTGTTTTAATTGGGTAAACCCTTATTTTTAAACAATGATGCATAGTTCTAGATTTTCGCATAAGAGGCAACATCCTTTTGACTTGTGCTCGGTCAAGTCCCTTGACTCTTCTAAACTCCAGTGGAAAGGGATCTAGCCTATCTAGCCTTTCATCATAAGGCAACATGCTCATTCCATGTATCAATCTAGTAAACTTTCTCTAACTGCTTTCCATGCATTGACATCCTTTCATAAGGATGGTGACTAGCACTGTACGCAGTACTCCAGATGCAGTCTCACCAATTCCCTGTACAACTTAAGCATAAACCTCCTTACTGTTGCATTCAATTCCCCTCACAATAAAATATAACATTCTATTAACTTGTCTAATTATTTACTGTACTAATCTTCTATGATTCATACACTAGGATGCCCAGACCTCTCAAGATCTCAGAGGTCTGCAACCTCTCACCATTTAGTTAAGTTGATTTGTTTTTATTTTTATTAATGCTTGTCAAATCTGAGTGTAACATGAAGGGATGAATCAAGGAATCATTCATTTTTGCCTGTAAAGATGAACAAGTGGATAGGGACTCAGTATTTTGTCCTTTAAAAATGCAAATGTTTAGTTGGCATGGGGAGAGATTCATTACGGAAATTATATTTGTCAGCTTCTTCATCTAAATCAGATATCACTGTGTATTTTTACTGAAAGTAACTTCAAGTTTAGTTTATAAAAATGTTATTGCCCTTCTGGTAAAATTGGACAAGCAAGCAGTGAATGTCATTTTTCAAATGTACAGTTACAGAGAACTTTATTTCAAAAGATCTGGCACTCACTTCTGCGCTCAGTGCTGAAATGAAACACACTTTTCAATACAAGAGTGGCCTTTGATATGCAGTAGGAAACCTTGTTTACTGTGCCATAGATATGATTAAAGGGATTCAGCCTCAGAATGTTATTCTTTGAGATTTCAATACCTTGTACAGTGTTTCTGCTTCAAATAAAGGGAATCATATTGTCAACAGGATCAAAAGATGCAATTTACTAAAAAGCAGTACAGTATGTGAATTAATAGTTAGCCCTATGGGAAAACCATGCATAATTACTTTTGTATACTACTTCCGATACCATGTGTCAGTTATTTACCTAATCTAGGAAATAAAAGTTTTTCTTTAAAGAAACATCTAGGTAAATCTGTGCCAATCTCAATAACCTGCAATTCTCCTGCAACTGCCAGAGGCATTGGCATAGGTCAGTCAGCGATCCCAAAAGATCTCAATATCTTTTGGCTTAAAGGAAGAAGTTAATTCAAACTTTAAGAAAGCATCTCCAATTGAAACCAGATATTTTTTCCCGTGGTAAAACTGTGCCCATCAGATAACTATGTACAAAAATTATTACAACAGGACTTATTAGCAGCCAACATTATCCAGTAATCATCCAGTATGACATTGCATGTTCCTGCTTAAAGAGGAGAAGCAGAAAATAGAAAGTAGATCCAAAGCAGTAACTACAATTCTTGAAATCAGATATATTCCCTCCCGAAGAATATGCTGCATGCCATGAGCAGTGGTGATTAGTTAATCTGAAGACAGTTAATGGGGATAATCACAGATGATCGTACTCACTTGATGTCTTTGAGGCTAGAAGTGTAATTGTTGCCCCTGAGAGTAATTTAAATCCTAAAACGTTTATCTGCTCATCATCTGATTCTCCAAGAAAATCTGTTTTCATAAAAAGAAAAATTAACATAATTGTAATTATAACTGGATAATAACCACAGTAAATCATAATAAAAGATACAACTTGAAATTATTGATCAAGCTAATCTTTGTGAAGATTTTAAAGTTATACATCGTTTTAATTGGTTGTTACAAATGTTTTTAAAAATCAAATCTTAAAATACTCTGTTACAATATAAATGTTTTGTTTTGCATAATTTAAGAAAATGTTTTTGGGGATCATTTATAAAAGCATAGCTGATGGGGTATAAAATGCAATTCTATTGTCACAGATGAAGCTTGTTGGTTCTTTTACTCTTCGTGATCAGTATGTTTAGTATGAAAAGGTGCATCTTGTTATCTATTGATTTTGAATCTTGATTAAACAATAATTCAGTAGCATGTTTTGAAAGTTTTGAAAATAAAGATTTATTTAGTCTCACCTCCTCAAATTAAACACAATAATTCATATTTATTCTAATATACACACATGAAGATCAGATACAGGTGAAAACGTTGTACTTTGACATGATAATTATCTCAAACTCAGATTTATGACATCCAGACACCCACATAGCAGGCTTGTAGTTTCTTCGAAGGCTTTGACGCTTTACATTAGAATTGGGGATCATGTAAAGCAAAAGATTCTCAGCATGTTTTGAGGTTTTTAGCAGTTGAATTTCTTGGAGATTGGTTCTCACATGAACTTAAAGTGGAACGGGTTACATACTTTGGCTGCCCAGTGCCTTGTAACCTCACTCCAAAGTGATTCACAGACTTCCTAATGATAGTTCGATGGCTTTAGCGGAATTGCCTGCCAATGATTCTTCAAACAAAAAAGGCAGTCCCACCTTGTGATTTTCACAGGCTCAAAGTCTTTTCCAACTAAGGAGGTTGTGTTCATGTTGATGATATGTCCTGTGTTGTGGGTTAATATTTCATACTTTGAGATAGTGTCTTTATGTCTTAATGATCCATTCAATCTGATAATACCCCCTTGATTGGTTTCAATGAAGGGGATTGATTCTGATCAGTTTGGAATTTTAATTCCCTCATAAGATAGGGGAGTAGTTCCAGGTCAGAAAATAAATCAAGTTACTGTCAGATGGCCATTTTTTCCAAGCCATTTGTGTCCAACTTTAAATATAAAATTAGTTTGTGGTTTTCAGAATAATATATGCTGGCCCTGGATATTACACTATGTTTTATACACATGATAACAATTACAATCACTGAGCTTTGTATGTTCCAATGGAGAAGCTTAAGTAGTTCAGCCACTGCTCTTGTAATTTTCAGGTTTAATTATGCACTGAGTTCACTAGTCTCAGCAATAAGGATGCTGTAGTTGGGCTCAATACCAATTTAGTGAGACAAAGTAAGATTACTGGTCAGTAACCTTTACAGGATACTCTCTTGTGCCTGAAGTAATCCAAAACTGTGCTGTCCATGTTGTTACTTGATTTATACCCAGTTCACCTGTTATACCTAAGCTTGCTGATTGATTGCTCCTAGTCTGACAATGGGCTCAATTTCAACAATTTCATTCCATTTTTTTCGGTTTTTCTAAACATTTTATTGTTGGTTTCAAATCTCTCCATGGCCTCGTCCCTTTCTATCTTCTGATCTCCTCTAGCTCTCCACATTGGGTGAAATATTTGTCCTAGCTCTTAAGAATCCTTGATTTTAACAGAACACCATTAATAACCATGCCTTCAGCTTCCTAAACTTGAAGTTTTGGAATTCCTCTGCACTTCTCTTTATTCCTTCAAGGTGCTCTTTAAAATATATATCTTTAACCAAGCATTTGGTCATCTAACCCAATTTTGCTCTCTATGTGGATTAGTGTCAAATTTTATATAAAAGCAAAATACAGATAGTGGAATGTTAAATTTTGTTTTATAATGAAACTGTGAAGCACCCCAGGATCCTCAAAAAACAATTATTTTAAAGCTGCTATTGTGACAGCCTATTTGATTTTGGGCGAAAAAAAAACTATTTAACAACTAGGTTCTGATTTCTGCTTACAAAATAATAGCTCGGTGCCACTAAGTGACCATATGTCCAGGTTTCTGACAGGTGAACATTAGAAAGAAGGGTGAAGAAACTAATTTCAGGGGTGAGAGAGATAGTAGGAACTGCAGATGCTGGAGAATTTGAGATAACAAGGTGTAGAGCTGGATGAACACAGCAGGCCAAGCAGCATCAGAGGAGCAGGAAAGCTGATGTTTCACCTAGACCCTTCTTCAATTTTCTGAAGAAGGGTCTAGGCCCAAAATGTCAGCTTTACTGCTCCTCTGATGCTGCTTGGCCTGCTGTGTTCATCCAGCTCTACACCTTGTTATCTCTTAATTTCAGGGGTAAGCAGGTTCCTAGATGTAGTTCTCTGTTCAGGTAGTTTAGTTGAATTGTTTTAGAATAAGAATAAAGGAATTTCTTTCAGCAGAATGTGGTTGGAATTACGTATGTTGACAAAAATAGTTAATTTTTTTGTACATGAAGGGCTCTACTAACAGTGAGTAAAATTTCTGGTATAGCAAGCTATAGAAAGAGTGAGTTCAGACACAAAACTCAATAATTGAAAATTAGAACCAGTAAAGTTCTGAAATTAGAGATGTCTAGAATATTAGAATGGTTATAAGGGATTTGAAGGGATAACCTTGCCAAAAACAAATGGAAAGGAAATGTCAACTTGTATTTGAATCCTTAACAGATTACCCAGACCAAGAGGTTAAATTTCCAAGTTTTGGCAATTATCTGACTTGAGAGATTTGAACATAGATCAAAAGTGAAGTTAAGACATTCAATTTGGAATACAAGTACCTGCGTTGATTTTCTTAATCTTTAATGCAACTGACTATTTAAAACCTAGTGCAGCAATTGTGGTGATTCACTGAATCAGTGAAATCCCAAATCATTACCAGTCTCTAGGGAGACCATGACACTATATACATAAAAGTCAAAGTCTCTGCGAGGATAAGGCCAAACTCAGCTGTGACACCCAAGTGAAGACCTCATGGATCAGGATCATTAATGGCACTAGAAATCATTAGATCACATTGACAAAATGTCTTGCTCTTCAGTAGAATAAGGAAGATAGCATGGAGGAAGTAAAATGCTCCAAGTAGAAAATTAGCAGTGCTACAAAAATACATTTCAGATTACTGCTGGCTAAGGTCAATCTCGCTAATGCTGCATTTCTGAAAATATCATTGGTTGTAGAGCACTTACCTGAAAAAATTGTCGAGAGACTTACAGGTGGCTGGTTAGTATCAATTGTTATTTTGTGAACAGCATTCTTAGATGGTTGTATTGGTTGACAAATTAAGTTCAGTGGCAAGCTAAAAGTACACCGTACAATTCGAGGAACACCTGTAAGGCAACATTATTTTTAAGTTTTGTTAACAAAAGCTTATGTGAAGCTTTATATTCTGCAACTATATTTTTAAGCTTACTTTCAAATAGTATATTGCTCATGATATATAACCCCGCTCAACTGAGCTTTGCAAAGCTAACATTGTCAAACCTTTGGCAATAGGACAAAATGATTTTGGTCCTGATTTCTCGACAGTTACAATCAATTAAATTCCAAGCAAGATGATTTTGCGGTATGTTTTGTGAGCCAGGATCAGAACTCTCTCTCCTTAAAGGACATTTGTACCTTTCTGCAAGCTGAAACTTTTGTTAAACTGAAGTCGACTAATTTGCTTCTTTCCTCAGTTCTTATGAAGAGTCACCGACCTGAAATGTTAACTCACAACAGATATTGTCTGATATTTTCAGCATTTGGTTTTCATTTCAGATTTCCAGCATCTTCAGCATTTTGCTTTTGAGTTATTACAGAAATTTAACCGTGGAAGGTCATTATGTGAAGATAGGAACTCAATCCCGTTGTTATGGCCAGGTAGCATGAATTGAAATCCTAAACAAAACTGTAACCTCTCTATCTTTTCACATTTAAGTTTTATTTCTTATAAAAATTGACAAATTTGCTGAACTTATAAACTGGTCAAGACTGAACACACCATTATTTCCAGAAGTTTATGAACCATCTACATCGTGTAGACAGTCAGCTAAAGCTGACACACAGGACTCACAGATGAACTGTTTGTTTCCAGCTAACACTCAACAAAGGAAACCTTCAAGACTGATTATGCCAAAATGCATGCTAATGGTTTTTCAGTTAGTTCATCACCTCAAATGAAAAGTCGAAAGGTGAGGTAAAGCCACAGTTAGCTTAGTGAGTTTCCAATCTGCCAACTGAAATAGGCCATTAACATTAAAAATGCCTCTTCCTGTCATACAACTGACTTACTTGCCTGACAGAGGAGATATCATGATTCAGAACGTGGTTCTCCCAGGACGAATCTGACCTGAAAGCCTTCATCAGCAGAAGATCTTGAGAACATTGGTGCATCGTGATTGCAAGCAGAACTTGGACAATCGTCGTTTGAGCTGAGTTACAGTTGGTGGGTCTCTACACTGGCTTCAGCCTAATGCCAATTCAGTGACCAGTCAACCAGAGCAGTGGCCTCTGCTAGTGCCCACACCCTAGGCCAGGGGCTCAGCAATACAGTCAGGGTGACTGCGAAGAAGGTGGAGGAAGGATCACCAGTCAACCAGACCTTCTTTGTGAAAATAGTGCTCCTGGATTGTTGCAGATTCCAGCAGCAGATATCTTCTGTCTGCAGGATTTCCAAAGCAGGGGCTACTTCAACATTAGCTTCAGGAGAATGAGCAATGTGAGCATCTACTGAAGGCATTTGAGGTGAAAGGAGGTGAGGGTCCCCTCTCTCTGTCCTGACTGGGGCACCATTGTTCATTCTCCCTGCACAGAGGAGCTGGGTCATTACATGCAGCTTGAAGGAAGCAGCACCGATACAGTGGACCCCTTCGGAATCTGGACCAGCAAGCCGCAAGTCATGGTGACCCTGAAGGTGGACGTAGCTGGAACATCCTGCACCCTCCCTCCAGCTTTGCAATCGGAGGGAGCCGAGGCTACCTGACATATACGGGGTAGCCTAGAGCATGCTGAACCTGAGGGAAGTCAGGGAAGACAGCAGCAGACTGCAAAGTGACCCTCTGCAGGGACACTGGATGTCGTGACAGGGCCAATGAAACTTAACCTCCAGCCCTTGGGAACCAAGGGGTGCCCACCACACCACACCAGGCAACCGGGAGCAGCTATGCTCCAAATAAGGAGCAGAGCTGGACTCAGAACCAAACCTTCCTGGTCTCATCCTTGCCCCAGCAACACCAGATCAGGGCAATTCCTGCACCCTACACCCCCACCAAAAGGAGGAACAAGATGGCTACCTTAGTGCGGAGAGTGTCTAACAGTTCGCCCACGCCACGGGGATGCAAGGACTCTCCCAATGACAGAACTGCAGATGAACACACATTGATCTAAAGGTCATTTTATAAAAACTCAAAATGGGTTTTTAATTTGCGAGCATTAATGTTCATAGCATTAAATCTACTAAGTGATGTGTCTCCACATTGGCTTACCTAGCCAACGTCAAAGCAGACTTCCTATTTCTGCAGGAATGTGGCATTTTGCACCTCAGCAGCTATTGGAAATGGTCAAACTTATGGGCCCATAAGCCTTCAATTTGCTTGGGGGGAAACGATTGCCATTCCTCCATTCTGGGTATTCTACTGCAAGGAGGCAACTACACCATCTCTTAGGTTAAGGAGGTGGTGGACGGATGCCTCCTCATTGCAAGCGTTATGTACAGAAATGCTTCCCTGAGACAAATTAATGTGTGTGCCCTGGGAGTAAAGACTGAGTGGTTAGCTGTCCTGCAGCAGCTCCCATTACTGCTGACAAGGTCCTGGCCAGTTGTTCTGGCCAGAGACTTCAACTGCATCATCGATGGGGATGGACGATCCGGTGGGGCTGACAACATACTGGACACTTGATGGAAACAGTTAAAGTCACCAAGTTGCACAACATCTCAGTACCCCTGCAGACAGAGCATAGCATAAATACGTCTGGTCACAGGCAGACAGGTCTATCCACTCAAGGGTAGCTTTCCTGTTCGCATCCTGCACGTTCTCAGTCAGATCCACTGACATCAAGCCAGTGTTCTTCTCTGACCACTGTATTCCGTCAGCCAAATATCACCTACAGGATGACCAGCGGCTTGGCAAGGGAAAGCGGAAGCTGAATGTGAAACAGCCGACCCCAAAAAAAAATTGAGGAGCTCAAAAGGGATTACACAAGTTGGAAAACCGTGAAGCTCCTCTTTGAGCTTCCAGCAGGAGTTGGAAACAGTCAAGAAGAACGTCAAGAGGTTTTTTATCCTCAAAGGTGTTCAGAAGGTGAGAGAGAGAGAGACAGGGGAAACCGTCCAAACTCCAGAAAAGCATGCAGAGCCTTCTCCTGCTGCAGCCGATGGGGGTCGGTGTCACTGGGATCTCCAGGAGGTGTGGCCAGCAAGCCTTGCTCTTTACCTTGGAGGCTCCCCAAGATATTCTTCTGGTCCAGGGTCCACTCTGTGAAGCAGGATGAGACGTGCTCACATTTCTTCTTGAAAAAGGTGCACAGGGAGAGCTCTATGTTCAGCAGCCTGAAGGAAGAAGATGGCTTGGTAACATCATCTCAGTCTGACATGCTGAAGATCAGCAAATCCTTTTATGCCAGAGTGTATGACACGAAGTCCACTGACAGTGCAGCCTCCCAGTTGTTCCCGTCCTCTATCACAGAGGTCTTAGACGACATCACACAGGAGAGGCTAGACCATCCATTATCTCTAGATGAGCTGACCGAGGCCCTTGAGAACTTAAACAAGGATAAAACTCCCAGCAGCAATGACTTAGCAGCCAAGTTGTATTCAGGTCTGTAGGACTTGATTGGCCAGGACCTGCTGGAGGTGTATGACAGTATTCTTCTGGCAGGTAACATGCGTGAATCCATGAGGAAAAGTATCATCACCCTCATCCACAAGTGGAAGGGGGTCAGGAAGGAAATTAGAAATTGGCAACCAATTTCACCGCTGAATGCAGATTAAAATCCTGTCTAAGGTCATTGCCAATCAGGTCAGGTCCGCACTGGGATCAGTGATTCACCCCGACCAGACCTGTGCTGTTCCTGGCATGACAATCTCTGAGAGTCTCGCCCTCCTCAGGGATACAATCGCCTACAAGCAGGACATGTTGGTGGATGCCTGCCTCATTAGCCTGGACCAGGAGAACACCTTTGACAGGATATTACATGCCTACATGAGGGATTTGATCTCCAAATGGGCTTTGTGGAAGGAATCTGCAATTGGATCCGTCTGCCCTACCCCAACATCGGTAGTGCAGTCTCAATTAATGAGCGTGAATCAGAAAGTTTCCCGATCCGATATGGAGTCAGGCAGGACTGCCTACTCTCTCCTGCCTTGCTGAGTCCATCAGGAGGGATGTGAGCCTGAGAGGGGTATCTATTCCAGGCATCAGAGGCCTGCAGGTCAAAACCTCTCTGTACAATAATGGCGTCACCGTTTTCTGCTCAGATCTGCTGTCAGTGCGCAGGCTCATCAGTATTTGCAACCAGTTTGAATTGCCTCAGGAACAAAGGTAAATTGAGGCAAGAGTGAGGCCATGTTCTTTGGGAACTGGGCTGATCGATCCTTCATCCCCATCAGAATTACAACAGATTAGCTGAATGTGCTGAGAATACAGTTCAGAGGGGCTGGGGCATGCGTAAAAGCTTCGGAGGCATGTATTGTCGAGGTGAGGCAGAAACTGGGTTTTTGGGATCAACATTCCCTCTCCATTGCGGATAAAAACCTGGTCATCAGTCATGCTCTCTGTTGTTGCATATGACGTAGGTCTGCCTATTCTCAGGATCTGTGCTTTTGCAATCACTCGAGCCATCTTTTACTTCATCCGGACGTCTAAGATGGACTGGGTCAACAGGGACACCATGTACAAAACTCTGGATGCGGGGGGGGCAGGAGAATGTGCCCAAAACATTCTCATCCTGATGGCCACCTTTGTGTGTGTCTGCATCAAGCTATGCATGGACCCTCAGTACACAAAAACTACGTACTGGGATTTCACCTGTCCCAGTGTTGCAAAGGTTGAGACTGGCCTCATTGCTGCGGAACGCTTCAAGTAGCTGGAATGTTCCGCATTACCCGTGCTTCGTGGAGAAATTCGGAAAGCAAAACATCCTTGACCACAAGTCCATCAGGAAGTGGTCAATACATAGACCCTGAGGGGAAAGGAGAGGATGGATCTTGTCAGATTGTTCCCTCAGCAGACTGTCAAAGTCATTTGGCAGAATGCCTCATCACTAGAACTCTCCAACAAGGACCAAAAATTGTTTGGCTGATGGTGAGAAGGGCATTACCTGTGAGATCCTTCATGTACGCCTGGACCCT